AGGACTTAATGTTTGCCCTGCTGTATTTGGACATGCTTTGGTCCCATTTCTATGTATCTCCCTGTTTGTAACTTTTGGAATGGAAATGTCTATGTTGTGCCAGTGAGTGTTTGAAGTGTCTAACTTCCTTTTCATTTGTACAGGTGTTCACAGCTAAGAGTTTATCAGGGACCTGGGCAAGATACTCAACTGCCTGTATGAGAGGTACAGTGCAAGGATGAAATAAGAAACAAACAAATTTAGTAATGCATGATGGGGGCTGGAAGGTCAATGCCTCAGGATGGACAGAGACAAAGACCTTGGAGCTAGCCACTAATAATTAACCAGTGGTGGGGGGTGCCTTCTCGGAACGGGGCAAAAGCAATGGTAAATTGGCAGAGGGAGGGGACTGCCTGAATAGACAGCAAGGACGGCAACCACTGATTCAGTTCAGCTGGGTGTTATAAGTTGTCAATTCACCACAGAGGGTAAAAGCAAAGATGAAAGTATATGCAGCATCTAAGAAAAACCACGGAGCAGGATACCATGCAAACTCACGCATGATAGTAGCTTTCCATGATGGCCACTCTTTTTCATGCCATCCACATCTGGTGGGAGCTCTCCAGAAGTTCCACATATGGGGTCCCAGTGTTGCCCTGAGATTTTGTAATTCACAGGTCCTGCTTATTTCTCCAGCCAGCATTGCCAAGCCCTATCTCCTATATCAAAAGGGCCAGGAAAGTTTATAAGCACACTCTTTTTATTTGTGCTCAATTCTCAGGACTATTTGCTTCCAACGGGTCCTCAGGTGATAATAAAACTGACTCATTATAGGAGGTAAATAAATTCTCAGATGTAAACAAACTCTTCCGAAATGTTACCTCTGAACATTTTTTTAAAGTGTACACTTGATTCAGATTTCCTTTTTACTGAATGTTCTTTTGCTGTAAGCCTTCATTACAGAAGCTGTCAGAGAGCCCCTCTTGGGAGGGACGACCTCTCAGGTAGTTGATGTTCTTGGCCATTTGGAGAAGTACAGGTTGGGTCTGTGGTTGAACACCTGTTTACTGAGATCTCGTGGCTCCCTCAGGACTGGGCTTGGGCTGCCTTTGGGAGACACCACATATGTCGCTTACCAGCCCTGAAGACGTAGTCTATGACTCCGACTCATGCTGCTGCTGTGATTAGGCTGGCACTTACGTTCACAAGCACACAGCAGTGTTCCAGGTGGGTTAGCACTCGAGGTCACTTTCAACACCTTTTTAAGCTTGGTCTCCACTTTTCTTCACCCTGTGGCTGTTTCAGTAACTTGGGTTTTTTGTTATTTTTATCTTTCCCTCAAATTAAATTTTGTTCCCCCACTACCACCACCCCAGGTCGGCTCCCCTGATCTAGCCCTAGCCAGGCATCCCTGTCCCTACAGCCTTACCTGGTCTTCAGAATTCCAGCCTTGCTCTGGTTCGCACCTAAAATGTCCACAGAATGTCTCATATGTGTAGATTCATTCATTGATGAGTTCAGAGCTGCACGTGCTGTTAGTAATTGGGGTCTCGTTTGAGGTGGACCCTGAAGGTGTGACCAAAAGGGTTTGTTCCTATCCTAGTCTCCTCCTGTCTTCCTGGCTCTGCTTTCTGGCAACCATGAGGTGAGCAGCAGTCATGCCTCTACCATGCCATTTCTTCCTTGGAGACAGCCAACCATGGAATCACCCTCTGAAAACCATGAGCCAAATTTTGTCTCAGCAATGACCTGCTACTGTACATCTTGTAGTTGGAGTCCAAGAACCTACAGATGGAAGACACAAAGTTCCTGATGGCATCATGACCATGTTAGTTCTTAGTTTATTCAGAGGGTGCACATCCTGACAGTGGGCACATCCACTTTCCTTACTCCAACATGTCTCTGGGGTTTCCACATCAAAGAAGTTCTGCTTTGCTCCTCATGGTCCTCAGGTGATGCAGAAGTAGCCTTGCCCCACATCTGACTGCCCCATAAAACAAGATGCATGCACTTGACAGAATGAACCGGATGCTCTCAGCCACCGCCAGCTCACCAGAGAATCTCTCCTCAGGGAATGCACTGACTTCTTCACACCAAAGTAGTTCTGCCCCAGGAAGCCACAAATCCACCAACGCAGCCAATAAAATGTACTTGTTCTGCCTTAAAAGAGGCTGGGTACCACAGAAACTGTTAACTTTCACTTAGGAAGCCTCGACTGGTTCTCTAGCCTTCAGGTTGACTGTTGCCTGGCTTTTCACAAATTCACAATATCCTCCTTCAGATTTGCTTCATTAGAAACAACAATAGTAAGAAAAGGCAATGAATTAGAAACCAACAGGAAGATTTTTTGAAATGTCAACCTAACAAATCTTTCAGGACAAAAGGAACTCTGAGTCTTCCAGAGAATTTGGTCTGTAATGTTCCTTTACTTTATAATCAAGTCATGCTAATGTAAACCAAAAACATAACTTGAACTAAACATGCATTTCACTCATGAGCAATTACAAAGCAGGCATTTCAAATCAGTGTTAATCTAATGTTTTTAGAACAATTATTTAATTTCAAGGTCCAATATCTGTCGAGTAAATCACCCATTTCCAGTTCATTCTTATTTAATGTAAAAAATCTAATTAGTATACGGCCATTTCACATCTGTCTTTAAATTAAAACATACCCTAGTCAACAGCATGCAGTATTTGGCTTTGCTCTACTGTCTCTAAATCAAATGTTCTTTTTGTTCAAATATAAAGAAGCAATAAGATAGGTTTTATTTTGAAGTATTAAGCTGCGCTTCATCACCTTGGGTTTTAACTTGGGGTTTTTCTCAAGTAACTTAAATGATGAAGTGTATGTTGCTAAAGACAGGCATGGGCTACAGAAGAATGCAGAGCACAAAACAAATATATTACTTTTACCCTACTTTGGGTAAGTATAAGAATGTTAAGGATCACAACTGGGCATGGTGGCACACACCTGTAATTCCAGCACTTGGGAGGCTGAGGCAGGAGGATCACCAGGAGTTTAAGGTCAACCCAGGCTATATAGTGAGTTTAAGACCAGTCTGAACTACACAGTGAGACCTTGTCTCAAGAAACCAAACAAACATAGGGGCTGGGGATGTAGCTCAGTAGCACAAGGGCCTACCTGGCAAGCACAAGGTCCTGAGTTCGATTCCCAGTACAAAAAAAATCAGCTATTGATACACTTTTGTTAATAATCACTTCTTGGGGAGCTGGGAACATAGCTCGGTGGCAGTCTTGCCTAGCATGAGTAAGCCCCTAGGTTTGGTCCTTAGCACTGGGGGAAAAAAATATTAAAAACAAGGAAAATTACAAAGACAAAAAAACCTTTAAAAAACACTTTTAAAAAATATTTATTTGTATTAAGTAGTATACTAGCTCTTTTAGTACCAAATGTCCATGATTTTATGCCTCGAATCATATCTGCAGTATGGATTGTACAAACACGTTTCTTTAAGCAGTGCTAGGGGCCAAGCCTAGGGCCTGGTGCATAGAGGGCAAGCACTCTGATCCAGACAGCAGCACTCTCAAGAGTCTGTGACAGAAACACGGCCCCAGACACTGAAGGTTCAAAAGAGTCATCATCTATGCATTATGCAATGCAAAGATGTACTCACAAAAACACAAACGTAAATGAGGACTTGCCATCTACACACTCTGCTTGAAAAAACAAAACCACTGGAAATTTATCTCTGGTAGCCAGGAAGAGACTGAAATAATCTCAGGAAGGTTTGGATAGGAAAGTTTAAGAATCCAGTTTAACCCTCGGTGTTAAGACACCGCACACCTCACGAGGAGCCTGGCCACCTTCCCCTCACCGGAAGCTCCTCCCACTGGAAGCAGCTCTCAGGCATCACCTGTGACTTAACTGTTGGTCTCACCACTTGAACAGCACCTGCGGCTATACCTGGTGACGTTTGGGACAAGCCTAGGAGGACTACAAGCCACAGGTTTTGTTTTCAATTTTGTTTTCTCTTTGTGTCCTGTAGGAGTAAACTGATCGTGTTTTTATTGTGAAATAACTCAAGCAAGAATTTTCTGCCTCTTTAAAATGAATACTGAATGACTTGGGTCACTGGAATTTCTTCTTTCTTGGTGAAGACACTTTATTAATTAAAATCAAACCCTTGCCATTTTTTTTCCATCTAGCATGTGTAAATGTTTTTTTCATTAGCAACATCAAAAAATCAGTATGGACTCAAGTGATTTAAAACTTATCTAGATGTAGAGAGTGAGACAAAAAAAGACTTGAAACCTAATCTGTTATATTAAGGATTTTTTCTGCATAGTGGATTTCTAGGTAATTTTGTTTTGGTTTTCTGTACTTTGCAAAATTTTTAGGAAAATAAGTTATCTTTACAATATATTTTAATAATACACATACACAAGGCACACCAATAACTACTATGCAAATAAATAAATGCACAGGGGAAAATTAGATGAAAATGAACCAAAAAGTGGCCATTCGCCATTCATCCCTCCCTTTGTTCACGCACGCAATGGGTACCTGGCGAGCGCTGAGAGGGTACGTGGTGCTGGGCCCTGCCCACAGCCAGGAATAGCACTGCTATTTCCAGTGAACTTTTTGTATTTTCTTTTTCTTTCATACTTTCACAAGCTTCACTGTGAATGTTTTTACTTTCTTTACTTAAAGATGGTGGGGAGTATATTTATTTCTAAAAGACTCTGATACAGTTATAGTTCAGAAAGGAGTTGTGTCCCCTCAAAGATGTGCTTTTGTGATAGCCACATAATTTTAAAGTACACTGTTAAACTGGGAGTGGTGGCACATAGCTATAAATCCTAGCAATGGAGAGGCTGAGGCAGGAGAAATGCAGTTGAGTTTAAGGCCAGCCTGGACTACACAGCAAGACCCTGTCTCAAAAGTCCAAAGCAAATAAATAAATAGCACATTGCCTCTGCCCCTTATAAAACTCATTTTTTTTGCAAACAACCCATCCTCCTCTCTTAACATAAGTAATGTATAATTTTTTGAAGAGCTGGTTTTTTAAATACATTTATTTAGTACATTATTTAATATCATAGGATACAGAGTTTTTGTTCTATACCAAGTATTTTGTGGTAATGAGAATATTAAAAAATATATAATGCAAAGTAAATCTGAATTTACATAAATACAATTCTTAGTCCATGTCGTTTTGTGAATGAGATTTCTCTTTGGATCTTTCTTTTTCATTCTTTTTCTTCTGTTTTTCTTCTGCTTGTTTTTCAAGATAATCTTTGAGGAGACGGTTCAGCTGTGGCTCACACTGGCTGGCCTGCTGTAATCCATCCTCCCTCCCTGAAACAACAAAAAACGTGAGACAGCTGTCCTTCATTTTATAGAGGTCCCCATGTTATCACGTCAGTCACCTCCCACAGGGACCGATCCAGACCAACTCTGCCCAAGCCACCCCCGAAAGTCAGCTTTAATTCAAATGCTTGACATATGCCCGTCTTCAGTTCACCTTCACAGTGCTGGATCACGCGTCCCCACAGTCCATTTCTCCTCAGACAGGCTAAATTTCCCACAATCAGCAGATGCCTCCGGCCTCGGGTCAGTGCGACATTCACTCGTGTTTCTGAGTCAATGAACCCTACGTGTCTTGTCCTGACGCAGGACAGAATAATGATCTCCTTTTCCGCCCCTTGGAAAGCATCCACTGTGGACACCTGCACGGTTTTCAAATCAGGATGGCCAAACTCCGCAGCACTCAGAGAGTGAGAGAGCTGCGGAGGAAGAGAACAGGCATCACCCAGTGCAGGTGTCTCGAAGAGCCTGAGCCTGTGACCTCCTGTGGCCACCACCGTTACCTAACAGCAGACCATGGTCACTGCTGTCTCAGGACTCTGCAGACTTGGCAAGGCAGCTTCTAAGTGAGCAACAGCCAGGTGACAATATTAATTATGAAGCAAAATCAAAAATGACTTAGGGATTGCTGGGGAACTCTTGGGTATGCTAATTTACAGCTGATACGCTAAAAATGAAAAACTAGTAAGAGAACAAAGAAAACTCTGCTTAGAAGTGATTGGCTTGGGTGTGCATTAGTATCTGGTATCCATCCTTGATTTACTGATAAAATGTAATAAAAATGAAAGAATGTTTTGGAAAACAGAGATTCAATCCCATCTGTGCCCAAACACAAAGCATACACCATATTTTCTTCCCTCTAATTTGTTTATTTGCATTTTTGCTACAACAGCTGTAAACTGAATTTAATTAAGCCCTGTTAGGTTTACATTTAATTATGCAGAAAAAAAGCCAGATCAGAAAAAGAAATGTTTCTTTTTCAGTATGTAACATATAGTCCCAAAAGTTTTCGAAGCACCAAATTATGATGAATGTAATACCAAATACTATAATCTAGAATTACGATGAAAATGTCTTATCCTGGGATGCAAACCTTGTACATCTGGGATTTGTATAACGTTATCACCCCAATCATAGATCCCTCGATGCCACTTGCAATCAGTGATTGAATCAGCTTGAGTGTAAAGGAAGCTTCAGCCGCATTATGAAAGCTGTTATCTCTTTCGATCTGGAACAAAAACAGATGCTAAATTATATTTCCAGGCCCCTTGGAAGGACCAAGCAAATCCATTCAAACAACAATAAAATTGAACAGGATGCTAAGCCGCACTGGTACCCGTAACACCACCGTCATTACCTGCTCTTGGCCTGCGACATTGTAGAAACACAGGGTAGGCAGCCAGTGCAGTAAGGGGCCCCTGTCCACTTCCGACACACCGTCCCTCAGGTTTCCTCCATAGAACAGGTCATTAGCGACAGCACTGATAGCAGGGTGACAGCGGTATTGGGTTCTCAGTGGGACTGGCTTGTGACCCTGAGACAGTTAAATGCAGAAACATGAGCTGGGGGGTTGGGGATTTAGCTCAGCAGCACAGCACCTGCCTGGCAAGCACAAGGTCATGAGTTTGATTCCCGGTACCGGAAAAAAACAAAAAATAAATAAATAAATAAACACAGCTGGGCTAGGAATATAGAGCTCAGTGGTGCAGTGCCTGCCTGGCAAGTCCTAGGTCCTGAGTTCAATTCCCACTACCAAAAATAAAAATAAAATAAAATAAAAAGAGCTCAGTGGTGCAGTGCCTGCCTGGCAAGTCCTAGGTCCTGAGTTCAATTCCCACTACCAAAAAAAAAAATAAAATATATTTTGGATAGTCTGGTACAATAGTTATTAGCTACTTCTATATAACAAATTTTCACATTTCAACTCTCATTTAAATTTTTAATTTAAATTTTAAAATTTTTAAATTACTATATCATGTAGATGAATTGCAACCAAGATAAAATAGATAAAAAATAAAGCCATTTTTTAAAGCAATTACTAAAAGTATGCTCATGGTAAGCTATTACATTATAAAATTGCAAAAACAACACAGAAAGTCTTCAGCTGATTACCTAATAAGCTTGGCCCCTAACATTATGCTTTTATAATTTATCTGGAATTGGCCTAATTTTTTTTTTTTTTTCTTTTTCGGTACTGGGAATAGAACTCTGGACCTCGTACTTGCCAGGCAGGCACTGTGCCACTGAGCTACATCCCTGGCTCCTAATACTAAATTTTAAAAGATCTTTTAAAAAATAAGAAAGTATTACTGATAACTTATTGATTAACTTTCCTCCCGGTGTAAATTCATTTTTTTGATCTGAAAGTTCAGAGAAGTTTCTGGTTTCATTCAAGCATCCTAACATCCAAGTCTCACCCACTTTATCTTCTGGAGCACATTCTTTTTTAGGGAGAAGTTCTGTAGTGCTGTTGGAACACCGGGAACAATTACAAGAAACTCTAATAGTAATACAGACATATTTAGATGCAAGATGGATGATCACATGGATGAAATATCTTATATAGGGAAAATATATAAGAAATCAACCTCACTATATTTAAGGCATAGATTTGTCTAATCAGCAGACATGTGAAACCTATGACAAAAAGCAGTAGGTACAAAAATACTCAGGAAAAAAATAAAAATAAACCAAAATAAATACTCAATCATTATTTACAGTGGAAATAACTAAATGTTCAATGTTAGAGATGACTGTGTTCTATCCACACAACGTATTTATGACAGATTACAAAACTTTTAATAAGAAGGGGAAATGATTCACTAGAATGGAAAGTTTTAAAATAGAATAGAAATTTATGACATGGTTTCAACTATGTATAAATATATATATTTGATATATGTTTATAACCCTAGGATAAAACATGGAAGGAAAAACATTAAAATACTACAAAGGGTCTTCTCTTGGGTTGTAACGTTATTACAGATGCCTTATTTTTACCTTTTACTTTTCTGTTGATCCATGCTTTCTGTAATGAATAGTAGACATTACTCTTATTTCTTTTACTTTTAATTAATTGTGAACTAATTCAAATATATAGAAAAGCAAAGAAAATAATATGACATCTATGTATGTACTGGTCACCCATATTTGATGTTAGTATTTGGTCATACTTGCTTCGGATTTCTCTTTTGTTAAGAAATAAAGTATGATATATATATATATATGCTATATATGTGCTCTCTGCCATCTTCTCTACATGTTTTTGTACACTAATAAGTATGTTTCAATACTATATATATCACCCTGTGTGCTTCTGAAACTCACTAAGTGGCATTTTACTACAAGTAGCCCATTCTACCTTGTGTCTTCCAATATTGCCTGTATTTCTGAAAACTTTATACAGATAAAGCTAATTTATCTGAAATATTTTGAATTATTCTAGCCTTTATTTTTCCTTTTTAGATTTCTACAAGTAAAAATATACTTCACTTTTTAAATTTCTATAATTAAAAATACAGTTAAGCCAGGTGTGGTGGCACATGCCCATAATCCCAGCATTTAGGAGGCTAAGGCAGAAAGATTTCAAGTTTGATGTCAGCCTGGGCTACAAAGTGAGTTCAAAGCCAGTCTGGACTATACAGCCAGATCCTGTCTCAAAAAACAGACATACAAACATACATACATAAATATTATGTTTTAAAAGGTATCAAAAATAGATAAATGAGGGCTGGGGATATAGCTCAGTGGCGTAAGTGCCTGCCTGGCAAGCGCAAGTTTCTGAGTTCGATCCCCAGTACTGCAAAAAATAAAAAATAAAATAGGTAAGTGATAAAGCAAAGGACAGAGCAGCAAGCTCTGTATATTACCATTTGTTCAAGCAAGTGGAACACTGCTTAGTTCCTCTTGAATTCTGAACCACGACTATACTGCCACTCAAAAATGCTTCAGGATGTGAATTTTTAATTAAGGGTGTTTTGGGGTTGTTTTTTTTTGTCTTTTTGAGACAGGGTCTCGCTATGCGGTTCAAGCTGGCCTTGAGCTCACTTTGTAGCCCAGGCTGGTCTCGAACTCGCAAGGATCCTCCTGCCTTAGCCTTCCGAGTGCTGGGATTACAGGTGTGTGCCACCACGCCTGGCCTTAATTAAGGTTTTGAAAGCTTTCTTTTTTGTGTAGGGTATTGGTACTGGGATTAATTAAGGTTTTGAAAAAGCCTCTGAAAACATCAGATTCAAAAGGGGCTGGACACTGACTCATCATGGGATGGATAAGAAGTTTTTCAGTTCAATTCAGCTCCACTGAAAAGCTGAAGATGATGTAAAGATTGTTCCTCTGCAAAGCTGACTACAACTCGGCTCCGAATTCAGTGCAACCTAGTGCCCAGCAAACAGAGAACTGTGAGTTAGGAATGCAGAATACAGTTTCACTATGCATTCCTCTCCCTAGTATCTAAAGGAACAACAACAAAAATACTAAAAACAATACCAAAGGAAAAAGCAAGCCATTATGCAACACAGAAAGGTCTGTGGCCAACCCAGCACCATGACTTTAGAAAGTGCCCGTCCTTGGGAATTAAGATGCTGGGCTAAAGGGAGCAACCCAGCACAGCAGGACGGCGAACCCTGCCAAAAACCAGAGCAGCAATGGCTCCTAAGGAGGGTCGGGCAGTTCTGAGCGGAGGTGAAGGTGTGGGGAACCACGGTGAAGGGTGGGCCAGCCGGGGCAGGGACACCACCTCCAGCCAAGCGGAATGACTCTAGACAAGGTATTCCAAAAACCCCAGGACATGAGTGTCCCCCGCAGCCAATCCAGGTGGCACACGCTCTTCACGCAGCTCTGTGCCAGCCTCAGTTCTAACCCCAGGCAACAGAAAACACACAGAATGTAAAGCTGGACAAGCTCGCCACGCTTTTTAGAAACTAAGGTTTATAAGAACAGTTACTGCATCCAGGCAGGAAAAAAACAAAAATCATTACAAGGGAGAAATAACGAGGTTGGCCCTAAACTTCCCAGCAGAGCACGCTAGAAAGTGGCTGTGCCCCAAGTGTGCACACCACGCCCAGGAGCCACTTACAGTTAAAGGCAGCTGGAGTTTTCAAACGTTAAAAAAAAGATGATAAAGTCTGATGCTCTTGAATAAAGGGAGGAGTTAAATACTGAATCCACTTAAATGCACAACTGGCTCTAAATGTACAAATTATGACTGCAGAAAAGAGGTATTACACACTCAGAATACAAAAATCATAGTGTACCTAACAAGGTGAGAACACTGGAGGGAGGAGAAATGGGGGAAAGAATCAGAAAGCGTTAACGTCTGTACTTCCAGAAGTAAGGAAACCAGCCTCTTTGCTCTAAATCTGTTGTTAGAGACATCACTAGGAAATAGTATCTCTTCCGGAGGAAGAAATATTTATTTGTGCTTTAACAACTCATTTCACATGGGTTTTCCTTCCTCTATTAAAAAAACTACAGATTGTTGAGTTCAAACATTAAAAGGACTTCTTAGATGCAATGTAAACCAGGAAAAATACAATCTTTCTCTTGACAAAAGTTTTTTTATAATGTTTTGGTTGGAATTTTTTCATCTTTATAAAAAGTTCAATTTAGATTATTACATAAAATAATAGTAACAATGACTAGAGAAGCCAATGTGATATGTACACAATGGAATATTATTCAGCCATAAAAAATGAGGAAGTCATACAGGCACATGGAATAAACAGCCCAGAAATAAATCTTCAGATAATGCTGTCAGTTGATTTTTGACAATGGTACCAATACAATCCAATGGTAGGAGGGAAGTCTTTTTAATACACCATGTTAAGAAAACTAGATAGCTACCTGCAAAAGAATGAAGCTGGGCTTTTACCCTACTGCACATACAAAATTCATCTACCTGATCTCAAAACAGATCAAGTACCAAAATTTAAGGACTAAAATTACAAAACTCTTAGAAGAAACATTGAGGAAAATGTTAGTGATACTGGATTTTGCAACACTTTGGTGGATATGACACCAAAAGCATAAGCAACACACACCAAGAAGTACGGATAAAAAGAACTGCATCAGCGTTAAGAACTCTGATGCATCCAGGCACGCAACCAGGAAACTAACAGCTGGGTGGAGCTCAGGGGTAGAGCATTTATCTCACATGCACAGGATGCTGGGTTCAATCCAGCACTGCAAAAACAAAACAGAAGTGAAAAGACAACCTATGGAATAAAATAACATTTTTCAAATTATGTATCTGACAAAGAATTAATATCTAGAATATAGAAAGAACTCTTAACATCAACAACGAAAATGAAGTCAAGTAAAAACAGGCAAGGGTTTGAGTGGCACTTCTTCCAAGAAGATATGAAAAAAAAAAAAGATACACAAATGGCTAGTAAGTACATGACACTGTTCGCTAGGGAGACAAGAGAACGCTCACACTCATTAGGGAGCCACTTTAAAAATAAAAATAAAGCAGAAAATAACAAGTGTAGTGAGGATGTAGAGAAGACAGAACCTTCACATGTCACTGTTGGGAAGGGTTACACAGAATTACCGCGTATCTGTATTTGTTCAGGTATTTGTCTGCCAGTGTTTATAACAGCATTATTCACAGTAGCCAAAGGGTGAAGACAACCGAAATACCCACCAACAGAAATGCAATCTATACATATACATATGTATATGTATATATACATGAAAATTATTTAGCCTTTAAAAGGAGTGAAATTCCAAAACATGCTACATCATGGGTGAACTCTGAACACATTATGCTGAGTAAATAAGCCAGGCACAAAATGACACATGTCATTAGCTACATTTACGCGAGGCACCTACCAGGCAAATTCATAGACAGAAAGTAGGCCCGAAGAATCAGAGGCAGTAGGAGGCAGGAATAGGGGATGGCTTAATTAGCACAAAGCTTCTGTTGAGGATGATTTTAAAGCTGTGGGAATGGGTGGGTAATACTTACACAACTTTGCAGATATACGTCAGGTAAAAATAATATAGTATGGACCTCAAATGCTGAATCGCAAAAATGTGCTAAGTGAAAGAATCCAGACACAGCTAAGGGTGCACATTATATGACTGTATTTATATGAAAACCCAGAAGAGAAAAATCCACAGGCGAAAGGCAGACTAGGGCTGCTGGAGGCCAGACAGCAGGCGCAGGGATGATGGAGCGAGTCCCAGGCTGAACTCTGCAGGGAACGAGGCCGAGGCAGTGCATGCACAGCACTGTGACTGCACTAAGCACCACTGAACCGCTCACTTTGGTAACTGTATTATTTGAATCACCTCTGCTTCAAATATATTAATAATTCATTTTAGATGTCTAAAAATGTGAAGTAGAGCTCTGTACTGCCAACAGAAGCATCACAGGTTTCCTAGACTTTACAACAAAAGCTATATACTTCCTGCCCATTCCTAAAGTACTGGGAAAAAAGTTCTTTTCATAAAGCCCTGCTAAACTGTAGAATTCTAGTTATCTCTAAGATGAGTACTGCCTAAACAACTCCAACTGTTAACTGTTTAAGAACAAAGATTAAGCTTTCTGACAGGTCCCCTCCCTCCCACCCACAGTGTGGAATGCACGAACCATACCCCTGTAGAAACTCAGTAGTGCGTACCATTAAGCAAAGCCGATCGAAAAGAGTCTGTTCCAATCCATTTTCATGAGCTGCCTCAGAACCCTGAATTGTAGGAGGCAGTTGTTTGGGGTCCCCAACAAGAATCAGCTTCTCACACTCAAACCTAGAAACAGAATTTCAAAAACTAACCTAAACAACGAAAAAGGGACATATGGATACCATTTTATTGCACTTTCCAAAATGCACACCACAACTAAATCCCATGAAGTGTCCCGAAAACTAACAAGGCTGCATAGTGCCGAAGAAAATCTTTCACATAATTGTTTTCCACATGAAACCCACTCAGTAACCCCTGCCTCTGCGTGGAATTAGTATTTCATAGAACACACATGGGAAACATTTATTTTTAAGATCCATAAAGTCTTTAGGAAAAGCTTTCTAATACATTTGGCTTAAACTCTTGTTTTAAAGCTGGGGTAAATTAGGTTCCCAAGGACTAAATGTCTCCCAACAGAAGTAAGAGTTGGGAAAAGCCCAAAGTTGTAGACAAATCTACATCCAAACCTCCGCTGTACTATACACTGTGGCCACAGCGAGTCATGCTGTCTCTCCAGGCCCCATGTTCTCAGCAGTGACCTGGAGGTAAGGGCACCGGTGTCCACTGGTGTGAAGAGATGAGTGTACTCTCATGGAATTAAAGACTATGTGATTTAAATGTCTAAACTGCAACCTAACAGGATTCTCACACACTTCCCTCAAATAATTTCCCTCTCATGGCCAGGCGTGTGGCGCACGCCTGTAATCCCAGCACTCGGGAGACTGAGGCAAGAGAATTGTTTCAAGTTGGAGGGGAGCCTGGGTTACAAAGTGAGCTCAAGGTCAACCTGAACTACAGAGCGAAACCCTGTCTCAAAAAAAACCAAGTAATTTCCCTCTCTATTAATCCGTTTCAGTACTTGACCCACTAAGAGTTTTGACAGGTCTAAAGAGGCAGGAAGTCGGGACAGCCTTGGAATAATTCTCTGCAAAGGCCGCATGCAGGCTACCGTGCGATGGGAAGCAGGGAGGTGGGCTCAGTCATCTGGCTGCACTCGTCCAGCACCACCACCGGGAACTTCAGGTCGCTCATGCAGGGGAACGGGCAGGCTGCGCAGGTCACACCGACCACGAGGACCTGCATGACAGCAGACGATAAGAGAAGCCACTTACCAAAGAAGGAACAGGCTACAGTGGAAATCAACCAGGCCTAACTTAGCTCTGGACAAACAGAAATCCTGGGGCACTTTATCTCTCTATTTTCATTACTGCCATGTACAAACCAGAAATCATGGACTATACACTACTCAACCTAATCCTAGCCTAAGCTCATCAATCAGAACAAACACCAGGAACACTGGGATATTCAGAAGAAAAGTATTACAGTGCCGATGACTGAGGGGATATTAATGACATATACATTTTATGTTCCACATGAGCTAGAATTAATACGACATGCATGACAGCAGCACAGGAGAGACTGCCCACGGAGAATGCGGAATATGGGAAAGAACCATCTTTTGCTTACATCCTCATGCACAGGAGCATTAAGGTTTATTTAAGAAGGGAAAGATGAGCCAGGCATGGTAGCGCACGCCTATGATCCCAGCACTAGGGAGGCTGAGGTAGGAGGATTGCTGTAAGTTTGAGGCCAGCCTGGGCTATAAAGTGAGCTGATGCCTAGCCTGAACTACATAGTGAGACCTTGTCTCAAAATAACAAAAAAAAAAAGGAAAGATTGCTAATTTCAAACCACAGTAAGTTAAAAATATACCTGGAGCCTTTAATATATTTGAATCTTGTAAGTTTGAAATATTATAGTACAATGCCATTACTCTTAAAGCAAAAAGCCCCAAAAGCAAACATTTTACTATAATCTCCAAAACTAAATATAAAAAGGAAAAAATCTGTGGTTGGTTTGTTTGTTTTTGTGGGTTGTTTTTGTTTTTTTTTTCTTTTTTTGCGGTGCTGGAGGTGAAGCCTGGGCCTTGTGCACAGGAGAGGGAAGTACTCTGCCACTGAGCCACAGCCCACACCGTGACATTTTTAGTTGAAGGCAGTCACTGGCCTAGGAGCCTCCTGGCTGTACACACGCACACACATCTGTGTGTATAGGTACGTGTACACACACTCATGGGACACGCACCCCCTTCTATTCATCTGAAGACAGTTATATTTTCAGTTAGCAAGGGCCATCTACATAAACTGATCAGCTCTTTTTATCAAATGTGTTTGATAAAAATATGCTTTACAAGTTAAATACTGCCCCCAGATCCTATGAAACAAAGAAGTACTCTAAGTACTTTATTTTCTTATTAATAAATAACATTCATCACACATAATACCTTTATCAGTTAGGTTGTCCCTCATTCATCAAAAACAAAAACAAAGATCCTAAAGCCACATTTACATTAGAAATTCCATAGTATTTAAATATTCAGTTCTTTAAAAATATTCAGTCCTTGTGGCTTACACACTGCTGTTGGTACCACTCTGGAATATGTATTGTCTAATTTCTGGCAACTGTATCTAACAAAAACAACCTTAGAAACGGAGCTGAAATTTATAAATCAAGAAGCAATTTTTAAATTAAAGAAATACTTAATACAGAAACCTAAAGAACTAAGTTTCTTCTTTAAAGAATTATATTACATTTATTTTAAAAATTTATTTTTATACTGCTGAGACACTTAAGAGAAGACTTTGTTACTGACCTAGGAAGTAGTACTTAACCATGAAGCATTTTTAAAATTCAGTTTTATTGTAAAGAGTCATCACTCTAAAAATATGTCGGGTCTGATTGCTTAATTGGATTAGGAATTTTTTAACGAAAAGCTTTTAAAAAATATTTTCTCTAAAATAGTTTTTCTTTGTAAACAGATAATGCTAATAAGCAATAGATTATTGTAAGTGGGTTACATCTAACAACTGATTAAAGAACCATTCTTACGCTGCATTTGTTCTTGCATACCATTTTGTGTCAGATAAGCTGACAGCATGGTAAGCAGTTCACACACATGGCTGATTTGTATTTGCTAAACACAGCCAATCTAAACCTTTTCAGAGAAGGTGGAGCAGAGTTCTGTCCATAATTCAGACTACAGAAATCAGTCTGAAGCCCTCTCCAAGGACTTCTAGAACCAGGACCTGTTGTATGTTGATTGCTCTCAATTTCCCCTCGCTCCCTGGCTTATTCCTGCACATTCACACCCTTTGCCTGTGACTTTGCAGTGCTGTAGGGGAAATGTGGCCATGTGAGCTGAGAGAGCAAAAGGCAGGTAGTGGAAAGGACACACACAAGCCTTCAGTCGTGTGAGCTGGCCTGCATTTGTGCACTTCCGCCATCTGTCGGGAGGATCACCACACAGGCAACTGTTCTGAGAAAGAGACTCAATCACAACCTAAATCTCAGCCCCAGTTGATCTGTGGAGTCACGGTTGTTGTCTCACTTAAAGCACTGAGATTTAGTTTGTTTAGCAGCACTACTTTGGCAACTGCTGACCAACCCAGCGTCCCAAGCAGGCTGGTTTCCCTTGCCGAAAATGCCCAGTACCCACACAGCCCAAAAAGGCAGCAACTGCCGTTCCCCCACCCTCCTCCCGAACAGGAAGCGGCTTGTGTTTCTTTCTCTCCTCCCAGCGGATACTCACACTGGCTGGATGAGAAGCAGATCGCGGGGCGATGCGCTCTGTGACCCTGTGGGACCAGCCCAGCACCGAGGGTCTGTGCCTCTGCATTCCTGCACACAGACAGCCCCTGGAGGCTGCTTTCTGGAGCGCATCAAAGACAAACTCCACCTTGATAACATGCCCCAGACCAGAGCTGCCCCTTCTGTTTCTCCTAGAATGCAGCTATTTCCGTGGGCTTGCCCTGAATCTGTTCCACCTCCTCACTTCCCCATCACACCGACACACAGAGTAGGAAGAGAGAATGAGCCAGGTGTGATGAACAAAAAAAAATGCTGCACAGTGCACACAACTCACACCGGAAGGAGGCCATCCACGCACGCACGTCACTGTCTATGCTGGCACAGTCACTTGCTTTGTTAAAGAAAATATCCCTCCCCGGAGAAAAATGAGGAGGCTCTGAGGAGCATATCATTAAGTGAGCAAATGCAGCGACGCCTCACCTGCCTCAGCAGGGTCCGGGTGGTGCCCAGTCTGTGCTGCTCGATGCTCCTCCTCACACACACTCTCTCCGTGGGAGTCAGGTCCTCCTTCATGAGCGCGTGCAGCTCCTTCAGCTGCTCGTTCTCATTCTCGGAGCCAGCATGCAAGCTAGAAAAAGAGAACTACGAAGAAGAACACTCCCCTCTATTCCATTCTCCATGCATCACAAAAGAGAAAAATGCAGATCCCATTTTCTTTTTCTTTTTTCTTTAATGGGAGCGAGGTTTATTTGAAAAAGTGAAAGTGGAGAATGAGGGAGAAGCTCGCTGTGCTGAATGAGCCTGGGCTGAGGAGAAGGGCAAAAGGCAGGTAAAAAAGCAAGGCAAAGCACCCTGAGGAGGCAGGGTGGGCTGTCCCAAGGGAAGTCCCAGTGGCCCGCAGATTCGATTTCCCAGCTCGAGCAAGAAGAGGATAAGGCATCCTCTTCTCATTCAGAAACCAGACTGGAGGGATGAACTATACGGAACTACCATACTTCCCCGAATCGCAGAAGTTAGCGGTCTTACCTATATGGCAAAATCGGCTTGGCTATCTTCCGAACGCTCCCAACCCTGACAAACTTTTCAAATCCAAGACTGAGAAGCCTTTAAAAAAAATCAAGATAAAATAGATCCTGATTATTTACCACACAGTTTCTTGTAATATTTAGTTATTAAAATTAATTTTACATAATAGTACATTTTAGAGTTACATAACTCAATGTGACCATTTTACACTCAAAGTAAATGTAGTTGTAAGATCTTTTTTGTTTTTTTTTTGTAAGATCTTTGTGTAACACACTTCATATAGAGAGAGTTCTCATAATTTTTTCTCAAATGCATATATAGTTATCCATAGTTCATCTGGGGACGTAGCTCAGGAAAAGAGCACTCACTTAATACATGCGAGGCCTTCAGTTAGGTCTGCAAAACCCAAACCAAACCAAAACAAATATCCATGCTCTCCCATTCCTTCTCAAGAAATGTGTCCTGTCTGGTCCACTGTACCAGGAATGTACTGTCTGCTCAAATGCATAAAGAAACAATACTTTGGGGGGCAGAAAGGCCTCCCAGTCCATGAGACATCTCTGCTAATCACAGTCTCACTGAAGTCCTTTTCAGAGATTTAAGCATTAAGGAATCTTTTAAAAATGTTTCCAATCCCCTTTTAGTATTCAGGACTTACCTACTGTCTCCATTCCAACTTCTGACTTGTGTTTTATTTTGTTTTTGTTTTTTTAGGGGTGGGGTTTGAGACAGGGTCTTGCTTTGTAGTTCAGGCTCGCCTTGAACTCACTGTGTAGCCCAAGTTGGCCCTGAATTTGAGGTAATCCTCCTGCCTCAGCTTCCCAAGTGCTGGGATTACAGGTGTGCACCACCATGCCCAGCTGAAAATTATGTTTTCTAAGATTTAATACTATAGAGAAATCATTTTTAAATTAAAAAAAGGACACAAAATACTGTATATTACTGAATTCCAAGTATAGAAAGAAAAATGTAATGTGTACACATATTCTACATATATATTAATTTATGTGAGTATGAAAGTTAATTTTTAAAAAGCCTAGACAAATAACAGAATATTTCACCTCATAAAATGCTGTCAGTCAAGCATGGTAGTATATACCAGGAACCCCAGAACTCTGGGAGGTTGAGGCAAGTATGAACCCACCCTGTTTAATTCAGTAATTTAGCAAGTCCCTGTCTCAAAATAAAAAATGAAATAAGTAAAAATGGACAGGAGCTGCAGCTCAGTGCAAAGGTCCTGGGTTCAATACCCAATATCACAGACAAAAAAAAATAAAAAAAGAAAGAAGAAAACGTGGTGTAATCTATGTTGAAATTCAAATAATTAAACACTGAAATAGTGGTAAAATACTACATATTTTCTTTGTAGTTTTCATAAAATATTATGTAATCACAAATTATAATCTCTCTTGTTTTCTTTAGACTCCTCTTACTGAAACTAGAAAAATGACTTACATAAATTGTTCTGTTTTGTTAATGCTATGCATTCACAGAGGCACATGGCCAAGATGCTGGCCTCTAAATGTCAGTTCTGGGATTTAATTTTAGATTCTTCTAAAACAATAGACCCCAAACTTCTGGGTCAGAGACAAAGCTGCTAAGTTGCCCAGGCTGGGCTAGCACTTTCCATCCTCCTGCTTCAGCCTCCCAGTGCTGGGATTACAGGCATGTGCTACCACACCTGGCTCAGAGCCACTGTTTTTAACATCGAGCAGGATGTGGACCTGCCCATCATCTTAGAGAGAGGAGCTACCCAGCAGCCAGCACATGTTGCAGAAGCCTCTCTGAGAAGCACCCTGTGCCCTAGAGCCTCAGCCCTGTGTTCTGGGCTGGACTGGAGTTTTCACTTGAGCATCCCCTGTGGGTGCCACGCTGCCAGGCTTGACATCCAATCAGCCAGCAGCCCGTCAGTCACTGCTTCTGGCCAGCTCACGGAACTCACATGGACACCGGGGCCCAAGTGACTCACTGCGTCTCCCACAGCCACCGCTAGAGCACCTGTCACACCTACCCCAGAAGCACTCTGTCCACGGCGACATTGGTGGAGGAGGAAATGAGAAGTTTCCATGGCCGTGCGTTTCCCACTGCAGGAGGGTCGCTCTGTTCAAACAGGCGAACAAAGAACAAAACCACCACCGCCAGCAAATAGCTCTTGCCCGCGCCAAAAACACCTGATTATTTAAAAGCAGAGTTAAGACCACACCAAAAACATTCCTGAAAGCACCAGAAGTATTTCCTCCATCTATCCCGTGCTCTCCTTCATTTAGTTAATGAATGTATGTAAAACCTGAAAGCCCACTATGTGGTGAACATAGGAATAGAGGAATGATCAACATACTTCTCCCCACAACAGGCTGAACAGGTGAAGGAAAGGATGAAAACCTACAATAACACTGTTACGGGGGACCACCGACAGAAGAACATCTATCTCTGCTTTGGTGATGATGGAAATGCTTCCTAAAGTAAGAGGCCGCAGAACCAAATCTTCTAGAAGATGTCCAGGGCCAGGCATGTTGCTACATGCTTGTAACCCCGGCACTCTAGAGGCTGAGGCAGGAGGATCACCATGAGTTCTGCCTTACTTTTCTCATTGCTGAGATGAAATACCTGACACCCATGTTAAAGCAGGAAAGGTTTGTTTAGCTCAGTTTCTAGAGGTTTCAGTTTAATGCAGGGTGGCGTAGCGGAGGGGCACGGCAGAGCACTCTGGCAAAAGGCAGCAAGCAGCAAGCAGCAAGCAACAACCCTCTCTGTCCCTTATATTCTATCCAAGCTACCTGTCCTTAGGGCGGGGAGCACTCAACCAGAAGTTGGATTATCCACACTCAGAACTAAGTCAAACCGATCAGTAGGCTAATTTAGTAATCTCAGTACTAGAACACTCCAGATCCAGCCACCTCTGAAAACCCCACCGATGACTACGTAAGGCTTTGGGGAGCATCTAGACACACACCACAGCAAGTTTGAAAGGTAGTCTTCGCTACATAGTGAGTCCAAGGTCAGCCTGAACCACACAGCAAGACCCTGCCTCAAAACAAACAAACCTTAATGGGTTAGAGAAGTCATCCACGATTTTAAGCACTAAGACTGACTTAGCAGATTATGTTTTAGAAAAACTAGCTGGGTCACAATATACAGAAAGGTAAAACTAGACTGCTGCATGAGATAACCATAAAAACCCTAACAATGCTAAGTGCTGGCTTTGCTAGGGGCTCCCAGGCACCAGGCACCATCCTACGTGTCTCGCCCATGATGAACCGTCCAATCTGTAACCCCAGGGGAGATGCTTTTATCGTCTTCATTTTACGGTGAAGAGAACAAAGGCTAAGGGCTAAGTAACCAGGCCAGGAGCACACCGCTGAGCAGTGGTGGAACTGGGACACAAGTAGGACTCTAGCGCTGCTGTGGAGCAGCTGCGTGGAGGGGCCACAGGGAGAGATGCAACCGAGCTGGGAAGGACAGACTCGCCAGGGAAGACAGGGCCCAGCTCTGGGACTGACCGGACGCAGCGACACAGGAAGACAGTGAAGATAAGGGAAGACAGTAATCTGCAGTGACTCCTAGGGGTCCTTCTGGTCGACAGGTAGATGTGATGTAACTCCTTAGGACCGAGCAGTGGAAATGGCCTATGGAGGAGGCAGGACTGGGATAAACACATTACTCTAACCAGGGGAAATGAAGGCCCTTTGCTGGCAGAGGTAAAAAGGTAAGAACAGGTCTAAAACTGTGTATAGGACGTTAAAACAAGTTTCTGTTACTAACTTAATTTCCCTTTTCTTTTCAAGACAAGAGTTTTACTGTGTCCTTCAGGCTGGTCTTGAACACACTAGATAGCCCAGAGTGCTCTTCCAGCAATCCTCCTGCCTCAGCCTCCTGAGTGGTGGGATTACAGGCATGCTCGCAGCTAATTTCCTATTTTAGAGGCAAGCTCAGCTTCAGAGGGAAAAGGGCAAAGGCAGGATGAGGTTTTGAGAACAAGAGGGTTTGGAATAGCTGCTGTGAAGGGTAGCAGGGAGCTGCGGAGGAAAAACAAAAGGCCCTTCCAGTCAGAGTTAAGTCCACATCATGCAGCAACTGGAGACACCCAGGTCAGACCTGGTGCGGCCCATCGGTTCTGGACAGTGGGTTACCACTGCCGCTTGCGGGACGGGTTGGGGAACAGACCCAGTAGTGGCTATGGAAATGGGATTGGCTAGGACAGGACAGCGCAGACGTGGCCTAAGCCCGTTCCCAGGCAGGATGCGTGCACCGCTCACCGTGGATGAGGGTGACGGGGAGGCCAGGGGTGCAGTCTGCACCGCCAGGGGCCGCCAGCATGCGGGCCACCTGGCTCAGGGCCGCGGCCTGGTCCTCATTCAGCCCGTGCGCCCGGCCCAGCTCATCCGCCAGCCGCAGCGCCCACTCCCGCTCTGGCTCCGGCGCCCAAGTCACACGTGAGCTGGTGAAGGCTGGTGGGGTGAACTTTCGCTTATCGGCTCTCTTGTCGCGAACTGTCGGAGCTGCAGACCTACAAAAAGAAAGCAAATCAAAGACAAAGGAGAGAGACCGTCACAGGAGGCGAGCAGACTGCTCGCAGCTGAGCTTCCCGTGTCATGCAGGGAATGCACTTGGGTCGCGGCCCGTGGGTATAACAAACGCCATTCACCAGCCTCTACCTGCTGGCTGAGCCTGCGCAGTATGCACGCTGCATAGGTACTCTTCACACCAACGCCAGAAATAATCAGCTCAGCAAGAGACGGTAAATACTAAAACGCCTTCCCCAAACCACAATGCTACTCATCGGTAGACTGCCTTAGAGAACTAAAATAGCCTCTGTATCAGGTAATGCTACAATACATAAATTGCTTTTATTTCTAGTTTTATAAAGTCCAAATTCATTTCCAGTTGAATAAATAACAGAATCCTAAGGACATTTTTTATTTAGAATTTCACTGTGGTAGGCCAGGTGTGGTGGCACACCCCTGTAGTCCCAGCACTTGGGAGGCTGAGGTGGGAGGATCACCGTGAGTTCAAGGCCAGCCTGGGCTACACAGTGAGACCCTGTCTCAAACCTCCTCCTCAAACCGGGCATGGTGGCGCACGCCTGTAATCCCAGCACTCGGGAGGCTGAGGCAGGAGGATCATTTTGAGTTTGAGACCAGCCTGGGCTACAAAGTGAGCTCAAGACCAGCCTGAACTACACAGCGAGACCCTGTTTTAAAACAAAACAAAACCAAACAAAACCTTCCCCTCAAAAAAGAATTTCACTGTGGTGAAAAAAAAAAATAGGACACAAGATAGATGATATAATCCCAAATTGGAAAATACTTTTATCAGTTTAATGAATTTAACATAAGGTCACCATTTTTTAACAAGGGCCTTGGTGCTGAGAAATTACAGGTGAAACACAGGTAATGGCAAAAGTAAAGTCGGTATACCATTGACATATATACTGATTAAAGCTGTCAAATGATTTTTTTAAATGTTAAATAATATGTAGTATAAAAATACAGAGTAATAAAAAATGAACATTTGCATGATCCTTTAAAAGTTATCCCGGGGCTGGGGATAACTTTTACAGGTAGAGTGGTAGAACTCTTGCCTTGTATGCACAAGGATCTCAGAAACACACACACACACACACACACACACACACACACACACACACACATTAATAAAGACAAAAAAATTGCAATTTATTAGCCAAAACTACAATAAATAAATAAATAAATAATAATGCATGTTCCTTTTATCTGTTTTTTTCCTTTTATGTTTAAAACTTTCTGTCAACTTTTGTCACTGCAGCATGGGGACTGAGCCCAGGGCCTGGCATCCTCCAGGACAGCTCGCACCCTTGAGCTCCACCTGGCCCCTCTGTCTCTCTATGATGAAACACCGGCAGACCACAGCCTCCTAGTCTGCAAGAGAAGAAAGGGAAGGAAGAGACCACTGGCAAAGCGCGTGTGCCGGGACTTCACTGACTTTCACATTAACCCTTAACTACCTCTCTGACACCAATGACCCAAGAGAAATGGCAGCTTACATGGCTAACAGGTGCGGCGTGAGGGGCAGCGTTCCGGGGTGAAAGTGCTCCTGGATGTTTTTCAGCGTCGTCAGCTCGCTGCTGGCGTTACAAACCAACAGGGCGTGGACCACAACTAGAGGGAGATGCAGAAAGTGAGTACCTGGGGTCCAGGAGGGGAATGTCCTTGTAGCTCAGAGCTCGGCCTCTGAATCACATGATCCAGATAAACCTCCAAGGGCCTGCCAAGTCCTCGCACTTCGTGTCTGAGTCATGTGACCTGTCACCCTCTGTGTAAGCACCACAAACTGTGCCACATGGGCCAACCTGGACGTCTACACATCACTTACTGGACGGAACACATTGCTGAGTTTGTGCACCGCAGCCAAATCAGCATACTACCCGTGCTGTACAGCAGTGTCTGTATAGGTTTAAATATTTAATGCATTTCTTTTAGTTTATTAAAATAGAAGACGGGAAATTAGAAAGCTGGTATCAGTAAGGAAATGGCTCCAGCAAATGTGAAAATATCCACATAAAAGTGACAAATGTTTACTTAGGCTTTGGTCATACTCAAGCTGGTTAACTAGATTTATTTAGTTAAAATCCAAAAGATTGTAAGAACATATGAAATATTAGAAAAGTATCAGTAAATGCTTTGTCAGGTATTATGGACCAAATTCAACTGGAGGCTGCTGCCTGCCAGTGTTTCATCAATATTTCCATTAGAAATAATTAGACAAATCAAAATGTATAGAGAAGTCCACAGATTCACAGAACTCGATAGGGATTCAGCTTAATAATAAAGGTTTTTTACTAAAAGAAAAATAAGGTAGGTGGCTTGTCTAATGAAGAACCTCTCACAGGGTGTCATGGTGCATACCTGTAATCCCACTCCCTAGGAGGCTGAGATAGGAGGATCACTTCAATTTTGTGGCCAGCCTGGGCTACATGGGGAGACGCTGGCTCAAAAACCAAAAAGAGCCGGGCATGGTGGCATATGCCTATAATCTCAAAATTTGAGAGGAAGAGGCAGGAGGATCACCATGTGTTCAAGATCAGCCTGGGCTACAGTGTGAGTTCAAGACCAGCCTGGAATACATAGTGAAACTCTGCCTCAAAAAAAAAAAAACCAACCAACAAAAAGATACACTCAAAACTGAAAATTTTCAAGACCTCTCAACATAAAAATGAATTGTTTAATAAATATACCTTCAAATAAATGAAAAGAATTAGAACTTGATTTAGAAATCATTTGAAAAATATAATTTATAGAGTTCAATCTTTCTTTTTTGGTTTTTTGTTTTGTTTTGTTTTTGTTTTTCTCCGGTACTGGGAACCGAACTTATGACGTTGCGCTTGCCAGGCAGGTGCTTTGCCGCTGAGCTAAATCCCCAGCCCCGAGTTCAATCTTTCTTCCTTTCTTTTTTTTGGGGAGGGTGGGCAGAACTAGGGATTAGACCTGTACCTTCACACGAAACTACATCCTCAGCCTTTTTTTTTTTCCTTCTTTTGAGACACAGTCTCTCTAAATCACCAAGTTGCCCAGGCTAGCCTTGAAATTGTGATCTTCCTGCCTCAGCCTCCCAGAGTGCTGGGATTATAGGTGTGTACCGCCACACACAACTTAATGCTTATATTTTAAAAACCAAGAATATACTGTGTAAAATTCAATTTTTACGAAATACTTCAGTGACGGTTCAGGATTCCATGCTATCATCAGCCCTCTGGGACACGAGCTGCAAGAAGTTCCCTATGCTCAACTGTCAGCATGTTTCAGGGACATTGCACTCAAGGAGAGGCCTGACAGGGGCTCCTGCTAGAGGAATCAAACAGTCCCACCGGTGTCCTGGTTCCAGGCGCAGGCCACGCCCGTCACTCTCTGGAAGTGGAAGGGAGATGGTCACAGATGCTCACCGTTAGTGGGCCAGCGGGATGGGAAGTAGCCCTTCAGAGGCAGAAGCTCCACCTCGTTGGCAGAGGACGGGCCAAAGAAAGCGCTGCACGCTACGAATGTGTCCAGTGCAAAGTCCAAGGTTTTTGAAATTACCCAGAGATCATCTGAAAGGACAAACATTTCCCCAGCTTTGATGAAGTAAACAACCGAATCCTGTTCATGGACAGAGCGGTATTACAGAGGCTCAGCCAGGGCCCTGACCGCACCAACAGCACTCGGGTCCCTCCGAGCCCCGCCCCAGCCCCCACGGTGTATCACACAGGTAACTGCTCTGCCCCGATTCCCACACTTAGGCTAATCAACGTGCCCCCACCTGACAGTCACCTTTTCATATTCAAATGGCGAGGACTGTTGGGATCTAGTCCCTTCACCAAGTTCACAACACTTGGGGGTTCCTGTGGATTGAATCCAGGGCCTTGTGCAGGAAGGTGAGTACTCTGCCTCTGAGCTATACCCCAACCCCTTTTGTATTTAGTTTGAGACAGGATCTTGCTAAGTTGTCCAGGCTGGCCTTGAACTTGTGATCTCCTGCTTCAGGTCCCAAGCACCTGGGAATACAGGTGTGTGTCCACATGCCCAGTGTGAACACCTTATCAGTAAACAGTCACCCTGCTATACAAGATGTTGCGAGAACTGCACCTAACCAGTCTGTATTCTCCATCTCCCGACTCCCCGCACCCTCGGAGTCCTGCCACCACCTTCTGTTTCTCTGCATTCAGTTGCTTTACATTCACACGAGACAGTGCAGATCTGTCTGACTTGCTTCACTTAGCATGAAGCCCTCCGGGCCTGTACATGCCTCAAAAGTCAGATTTCCTTCTTAAGGCTGAATAATACAGCTCTAAGTTCTTTCTTTATTGTCCACTGAAAGCCACTTCTACTGAATCCTAGTTTCTATGCTGAATAATACCATATAGGTCATTATTTTTTTATTCTCTACCGAAGGCCACTTAGGCTATGTTATGGCTTGTGTCCAGATGTCCCCCCAAAGCCTCATACAGTCACAGGTGGGGCTTTTCAGGCACTAGGTTTAAGGGGGTGTGTGCTATCCGCCCCAGATAGCCTGGATAAGATGTAAATGACAGAAAGAGGCTTGTCTCTTGTTACTTGCTTGCTTTCATTGTCTTTTGCCTACAACAAACCACTTCTCTGTGACGACCCTCTGCCATGCGACCCTGCCTTGGAGCTGGCCGAGTATGGACTGAAACCTCCACACACTGTGAGCTAAATAAACCTTTCCCTCTTTAATTGTGGGTTTCAGGCATTTTGTCTCAGCAATGAGAAAGGTAACTGAGACATGCTGATAATAGTATCTATGGTGAACAGCATCACGTATATGATTATTTCTTTAATCTTCACTGCAGAACTCTCAGGCTGTTGCTGCATCTTTGCTGTCGTCACTGACATTGCAGTAACTCAGGATGCTAAACTGCATCCTTTCTTTTGGACATACCCTGGGAGCAGCCTGCTGGCCATAGGGCAGCTCTAACTCTGGTTCTGAGGACTCCCGCCCTTTGCACCGGTGCAGTCTTCCCAGAGGCACTACAGCCACCCTGATCTGCACATCCACGCTAGCCCCTGCTGCTCCACGCAAGCCGGTGGGAGGAGCCTCACGTGGAGTTCTGATTTGCATCCTCCTGGGAAGTGTTTTTTGAAGTCTCTCCATCCTTCCAACCAGGTGATTGTTTTCTCACGGAGTTGCCTGAGTTCCTCCTCGAGTTTGGGCACTATCTGCTTATCAGACACATGGTCTCCCAGTCCATGGGCTGTTCCTCACTCTCCTGGTTGTGTCCTTTCCTGTATACAAGCTCTTAGTCTGATGAAATCCCTTTGTCTTTGTCTGTGTGTGTGTGTGTGTGTTGCTGAGGAATCGAGCAGACGATGAAAGATATACTGATGACAAACTTACCACATTTTTCAGCTTATTTTCTATAACAGGTCAGAATATGGTTGACATCAATATACTTCTTTATATGATGCCAGGAATTTAGTGTGACTTTTTAACAAAAACGCCTTGGTATTCTTATAATAAAATTTTGTAAAAGCTCAAAAAAATTAAGATATGGCTTTTAGAAATGATCTGATTTATTATACTGTAGTTTACTATATAAGGGGCTATTAAGCCATATTTTTAAAAATTCTCTTAAAGAATTTACAAAGCTGTAGGTAACAGTTATTCAGCTGGATGTAATAGAGCAATTGACTAACCTTTGCTATAGATTGAAGAACTTTCCTTCCGACTCAACTTAAGATAAAGCTTGCTTTTGGGTTCACTGTAACACTCAGGATTTATAGTAGTAAACTTCTTTAGTTTGCCATACGGTTTTCTCTGAAAATCAAATCCTTTCCTGAAAACAGAATAAAAAATAAAAATAAATGTGAATTGGAACCACATGTGGTGGTGCACACTTATAATATCAGCATTCCAGAAGGCTGAGGCAGGAAGATGGCAAGTTTGCGCCCAGCCTGGGCAATTTAATGACAGCCTATCTCAAAAAAGCTGGGAATGTAGCTCAGTACAAAGGTCCTGGGTTCAATCCTCA